GTTTGGAGACACTGGACAGGCAACTCTTATTTGTGATAATCAAGCAGCTCTACACATTTCATCAAATCCAATGTTTCATGAAAGAACCAAACATATAGAAATAGATTGTTATTTTGTTCGAGAAAAGGTTCTTGCTGGTGAAATCAAAACTAGCTTTGTACCCTCTAATGAGCAATTAGCAGATGTGTTTACAAAATGTTTGAGAGGCCCCCGAATAGAGTTTATATGTAACAAGCTTAGTGCATATGACCTATACGCTCCAGCTTGAGGGGGAGTGTTAGAAATATATTGTAATTAGGGTTTCCTTATTTTGTATTAGGTCAGATTACATTAGGTTTGGGCTTAGCCCATTAGTTTGTTTATATATTGTACATCTCTCTCATTCGTTAATATACAGAAATATTTCAAATGTTCCTCTCTTTTCTCTCGTTATTTAACACTTTTTTTATTAATATCACTGCATTTATTTGTTAACTTTTTTAATTGACTTTTGTAATTTTGAATGTTTGTTAAAAATTCATATCGTTTTTTAAAATCTTAAAAATCTATATTGTCCTTTCAAATATTATAAATTCTGTTAAAATCCTTTAAAATTCAATCTTACGAAATCTTGATTGTAAAAAAAGTCTTTTAAAAAATTCTTTAAAGTCTCCCCAATTCTGAATAGTCTTTTAAAATCTATGAGATTTTTTATCTCAAAAAATCTTTTAAATTCTAATTCAATATATCCCCTAAATCTGAAAACAAACCCCCAAGGGTAGCTCAGTTGGCAATTGAGCTCCCAAGGGTTTGCTTGAGTCAGGGATTCAAACCCTTCCTCAAGCAAATTCTTGAAAAATCTTTGAGGGACAGAGGATGTGTCTCCCTCCTCGAATGGGGGGATCAGTCTCATCTTTCCTCCGGTAGCGAAGCTCAATGAACCCGTTGTTCCAATGAGGGGCTAGCCTACAAGGTCGTATCCTGAAGGCAAGATAACCAGAGGAGGTTGAATAAGGATACCTTCAGGTTATACCCAAAAAAAAAAAATTAATCCAAAAACAAATAAAATAAAACACACATTCAGCACATCAATTCCTACGCCAAAAGGTCCAAAATGTTGCCTATCAGTTAGGGGTGTTCGCGGTCTGGATTGGATCGGTTTTGGAAGCAAAACTCATCCGATCCAATCACTTCGGTTTGATCATGTAATCATCCATTCGGTTTAGACTTTTTTTCAAATCCGATCCGATCCAATCCAATTTTTTTCGGTTTGGATTGGATCGGTTTTCGGTTTTTTGAATATCCTAAAATTAGTTTCATGATTCTTGTGCAAATAACATCTTTTGTATATATTGGCTTTGTAAAAAAAAAATTGAAATACAAAAATATCAGTAAACAATACTATAGTTGATGAGACGTGACTAAGTTTTTTTTTGTGTTTAGTTGATGAGTTAATGGGTCTTGAGTTTAGAAATTTTTGGGCTATGATTGGAGAAAGGACAAGTAGGTAGAGAATAATTAATATATTGGATCGGTTTGGATTGGATTGGTTTTCATCAACCCATCCGAAAACCGATCCAATCCAATTAAAATTTGCGGTTTTCTTTCGGTTTCCGATTTTTCGGTTTTCAGTTATCGGTTTTTCGGTTCGTTTTTTGCGGTTTGAATCGGTTTGGATCGGTTGATGAACACCCCTACTATCAGTCACTTAGGCTGCACTTGATTAACACATATTTAGGGACAAGAGAAATAAAACATGGGAATTGTTTTTTTTTATGTTGCATGAGATAAAAATAATTTTTATACACTCACAAAAGGAAGAGAGAGGAGAGAAAATACAAAAAGGAGAAAATTTTTAAAATGGGTCCCACATAAAATTTGTGTGTGTGGAATATTATTTTATCTGATGTAACATAAGAAAAACAATCCCCATAAAATATTACAATTTACAACACAACTTCTAGTGTCATGGGATAAATTTGTATGTTGCTAGTCATTAATGAGCAATGTGAGGGATAAAAAAAAATTACATTTGTGAATAGAGCAGAGGACTTTTTGGGGGGTCTAAAAAAAAATTAATAAGAGGGGTTACTGGTCTTTTTTATTTTGTGCTGTGAACAGTATTTTCATTCAGGCTTAAAGCATGCAAGGAGAAATTGAAAGATTGTGCAATTAAGATTGACCAAAAAAGTATTGAAGAAATCTAACGAGTGATCAGGAAATAAGATGGGAGAAGAAATATAATAATTATAAATAACGAAGTAATTAAATTAATTAAAAAATTATAAAAAGGAAATAAATCAATACATTAAAATAAGAACAAGTAAGGATAAGACTGAAAAGTAATAATCATCAAACTTTAGTAATGATTCAAAATTACAAAAAATTTAAAATAAAACAGAATTTAAAAACACATTGTAAAATGGAGTATTAACTATTGTTGTATCAAAGAATGTTTTTATTTTTTATTTGTATATCAACATTAAGGTATGCGAATTTTTTTGAAATTTTAAACATTTCAATGCTTGTTTATAGAGATAAATAAATAAAAAGACTAGGAAAAAATAGAAATTAATCTTCGATTTTTTTTCTTCATTTAATTTTTTTGAATTTTATATATTCTCTCATTTTCTTTTATTCGCATGTAAACAAAGAGGAAAAAGATATGTTTGACGTTGCCTTGAAAATATTGTTGCATGCTCTTACTTCAATGATTAGTGCATGATCTAGGAAATTCTGTCTAAATTATTTTAACCACGCCAATTTACAATTAATAATACAAATGTTCTTCAATCATATATTAACATGTTAGAAAAAATGTGTTTGTTTTAGATTTGCATTTTATCGTTGAGGCATTTGGAAGAGACATTTCTTTTCATACTTAAGAAAATCACTACATATGTATAAAAAAAAAATCACTACACTAAATTAATATGCTATTAAATCATCATTGCATATAGGGGTGTCAAATCGGGTTGACACGGCACGAATACATCAACACGAACATGACATGGATTTTTATTCGTGTCAAAATTTTCAACCCTAACACGATACGATTTTTTTTGCGGATTGACACGACACGACACGAATAACACGCAAAATAGGGGTCAAAACGGTAATTGACAAAAAAAATTAAAAAAAGGTCGAAATTAAAAAATTTAAAAAAATAATAATAAAATAATTAAAAATATATGGGTCAACACGAACACGAATACAAATACATCAACACGAACCCGACACAAATTTTTTACGTGTCATTTTTTCCAACATGAACACGTCGCGATTTTTTTGGCAGGTCAACCTGAACACGAATTTTCGTGTCGTGTCACGGGTCGACCCGCGTGTCATAACCTATATTGACACCCTACTTTCTTATATAAGACATATATATAACATAGAAAAAGTTATATTTACAAAAAATTTGTTTACAAATTACATTATGTCTGACCAGTAATACACTTTTCAGTAGAGTATTATCGGTCAGATATAGTGTAATTTATAAGTTTGTACAAAAAAATTTGTCAATATAATCCTACTTATATAACATATATACTTCTAGGATGTGCAAATATTTAAGTGGTGGAAGGTGTATATTTCCTTTTGTCCTTGACTAGGAAAGAGTACGTGTTTTTTTGGGAATATGACAACAATCATGGCTAAAGCACCATTTTAGGATTTTTGAGCAAAGGAATTGTCTAATTAAAGTTAATTGAATAAGTTTTTTTAAATTAATACAGTCAAGTATATCATTGGTATCGACGGGACTTATGTCATATCAATATCACGTAGGCAATTCCGTTACTGTAAAACTTCGAAAGGCTATAATTTTTGACTCAGGTATCTAAATCAAATATTTTTTTATGATCTCACATAACTTTTCAAGATCTATGCAATGACACATTTTATTTTTCACAAACATAGTTTGAATTTATAACAATAATTCCACAATTACAAGATCATTTAAATCCAGAAGATCATGAGTTCTTTCCGAACCAATACAATGAGCTGTCGCACGTGCCATCTTCTGGATTTAAAGCTCTTGTGATTGTGGTATCATTGTTACAAATTCAAACTATGCTTGTGGGAGATAAAATATCGCAAATGAGGTATTATTGCGTAGATCTCAAAATGTTACGTGAAATAAAAAAAAATCATCTAATTTGAATACTCGAATCAAAAGTTATGGTCTTTCAAAATTTTACGGTAACGAGACTATGTTAGTTTGAAAAAACTTATTCAATCAGCTTTAACTAGACAATTATTTTACCCAAAAACCTTAGGATTATGCTTTTCCCCAACAATCATACACAAGAAAAAAAAAGGAAAAAAAAAAAATGAGACACAAATTTATTTTGGTTCACCTCATGTTTAGATTCAAAATAATACAAAACCTTTGTAGGTGCGACAGCAAAACATCGTGTGCGTTGAAAAATCATGTGTGAGAAGTAATATGTTATACTAAACATGTTTTAATAGAAAATTAGAGAACCCTAATTTCAATAAAGTTTTAATTTATATTACTTAAACCGTTTGTATTTTATTCTAATTTGAGCCAAAATGGGTAACTCTTAAGAATTCGGTTTATTTAATGGAAAAAGTGTTTGTTATTTTAAATGACACAATTTATGTTATTTCACTATAACAAAGAAGTGAGACCCATATTTTTTTTTTGTCCATTCTTTCTCGCAATCTATCTATTTCTCTCACTTAAAATGACACAATTTTACATCTTTTAAAATGATACATATTTTTCTCTTATTTAATTTGATTTGATTTAGTTTTATACATGAAAAAAAAAAAGCCAAATCAAATCCATCTTGTTATAAAAGGAAGATAAAGAAACCAAAATTCATAGATTTTATTTTCTTTATTTTTCCAATTTTGTTCATTTGGTGCATCATCAAAATTAATCGATTGCATTATCATTTCAAACAGTGACAAGATATTTTCTACAAAAATTAGAAAATAAAATCTGTCAATGTTTCAAAAGGTACATTACATTACAAATGTACAAAAAATCTTCAGTGTGTGAGAAGATTAAGCAGTGACACTCTTTGTTGTAGTAAGCACCTAAAGAGGCACTCTAATCGTGCCTCCAAGTCTCTGATGCTCCCATCTAGTTCCCCTAATCTCATCTTCATTATTTGTACATCATCTTTAGCATCACTTTTCCCATTACGTTTCAGGAAGGTGCAGAGAGCAACATCAATATCCCCCATCTCATTGATGAACCTCTTTTCTCTATCAGATTCAGTGGACACCATTCTAGAGAACAATGACCACCCACGAGTGTTTTTCTTCAATTCTGGCGCATACATAAAAAGTAGGAGTTTTTTGAATAATGAAATGGTGATGGAACTTAATTCTCTTAGCACCTTGATCACCGTTAATAGATGATGGTGGTCTACATCTAAGAAAGGGTATGATTTAAAGGTACCTTCCATTTTCTTCAATGTTTTAAGGCTTGTTGAGATGTCTTTCCTTGCCTTCTTCCTAAAACAAATGTAAGCACAAATGTGACTATTGATACTTGAATCCACACCCTTTCTGCGCAAAGCTGATTGAAGGTCTAGAACATGTTCCTTCATCAATAACAATAATTCTCTTGCTGATCCACAAACATCAAGCAAACCAATTGACATGTCAAGTGGCTTCTCTATATGCTTTTCTTGTTGATGATGTTGGCGTAATAGAGCTTGCTGAGTGATGGGGCAACCAATGAGTTCTTGTACACAATTATACAACTCTGCAAGCCCTGTTAAACCTGTTTTGATTGACTCACTTTGTAGTGAGTTTGTTGAAACTTGTGAGGCATCCCATGTTTTCAGCCTCTTGAGCTCTTTTTCAATCTTATGTAATGAAGGATGTAGCCTAGAAGGCAAGCTAATGGATCTAACATGGTAATGAACTTCTGTGGCTGAGTATGAGCTAAACATTTTTTCTATGTTGTTGATTATTCTGAATACCGAAATGAGCTACTTAGGCTTGAATTAATGAAGAATGATATTCATGTGTATATATAAACCTAGGATGAGACACCATATGGGTCCTCCATGCCAAGCAATTATGTTGTATTAATGTAGTACAAGAAAGTATTCCCCATAACAATATTATAGATCTTATCATTATTTTTGGCCAACAATTTTCACTACCAAATGCTTTCTTTAGTCTCTTGGTCATTCCCCTAGCAACATATGGTGCATAATAAATTTGTGTAGGCGCCTATAAGTGCAAACATGCACTAATTGGAAAAGCAGCATTCCTTCTTTGTCTCCCCAATAATTAGTAGTAGGATCTCCTCAAAAAGATTTAATCAAACCAGTGGCGTTTGTTCATGAAATGCACAAGCTGTCAATGCATGATTGTCTAGTTTTTAATTGCAATAGAATATAACAGTGTACATGAAGGTGAATTAGAAATAGTAAAACGAAAAGGACAAATAAGGCAGGATCTAGCATGAAATATAGACTCAGAATATAGGTTTTGGTGTGAGAAGGTATACAGTTATTCCGTCAAACCTCAATAATGCAAATACATTTACATGTTTTTGGTATTTAATTATAAAATTGTTGTATCCCATGTGCTAGATGACTAGAGGGGAATTTTGTTTGTTTCCGTAAACAAGGTACAGTACAGCAAAATTATTATGTTACCATGCGCCATACCCATCACACTAAGCGTAGCGGGAATTTTATTGTCTTTAATGATTAATTTGAAAATTTCAGAAAAAGAATCTCATAGATAAATTACCTTGATAGCTATCTTTTAGATAAGTCTCTCCTATTAATTCAACCCTCTTAAAAAAAATGAGGGAAGAAAATCAAAATGAGATTGCTTCTTTGGCTGTTTTTTGCTGGAATTATACATTAGCATTCTCTCCTGTAAATCTGACTGGGATTATTACTGTTCTTTTATTTAAGGTAAGACTACGAACACAACTACACTTTTTTAGTGGACTGTCCCCATTTTACGTCACCGAAAACGACCAATTAACAACTGGATTTTTTTTTTCGGTAAATAACAATTGGAATTTGAAATAGTGGGAATTGGGTTCATTTAAAATGAAATTTATAAATAAAATAAAATAAAAAGCCTTTGAAAGCTGATTTAGTACATGTTTGCTAGTTTTTATTTTTAATTTGTACTCTCAAGCATAGCCAAACATAATTTTGGAAAAAAATCTTATTATAAAAAAAATAATTTAACACGAAGAAGAAAAATTAAAAGCTAAAAAATCTTTTTTTTTTTTAAAGATGTATGTCAGCTTTTTAAAATTTTCATATTTATTTTGTAGTTATATTCTTATTTTAAACTTTTAATTATAAATTGTATCATTTACCCATATAATTTATTCTAATATCAAATCATTTTACCTCAATCTCCTCAAAATCCTAAGAATAATTTTATATAATTATCAAAGAGAAAGGTTATACTTACAACCTTTTTTTTTACAACCATATCTTAACACCGTTAATTTTCGCCAATCAACGGTTATCATTTATTGTGAATTAATAATTAATTAATGAATTTAATTTGCGAAAATCATAACCGTTGATTGGCGGAAATCAACAGTGTTGAGATATAATTGTAAGAGATTGTAAAAAAAAATTGTAAGTATAACATACCTCATTATCAAATAGTTTTTAACTTTATTTTTTAAACTTTAATGCTGACAGGATGGTTGGGTCGAGCTTGATACAATTTGGGCTTTCCTTTTTTACGGATACCATACGCAACATATTCACGACCCATCTATTGTAGCACATTCTGATACCCCATCCTAAAATGTGAGCTATTATACGTGGTAAAGTACATTCATGTCTTGTTTATTAGTTTATTTTATTTTTTTATTTTTTATTTTGGAATGACATTTATAGTGCAGTTTTTTTTTTATCCTTTTATCTTTCATTAATTAAAAAATAACTATTTTTCCCTCATATAAAATATTTCACCAATTTGGGCTTTCCTTTTTTACGGATACCATACGCAACATATTCACGACCCATCTATTGTAGCACGTTCTGATACCCCATCCTAAAATGTGAGCTATTATATGTGGTAAAGTACATTCATGTCTTGTTTATTTGTTTATTTGATTTTTTATTTTTTTATTTTTTATTTTGGAATGACATTTATAGTGCAATTTTTTTTTACCCTTTTATCTTTCATTAATTAAAAAATAACTATTTTTCCCTCGTATAAAATATTTCACCAATCTACACCTCCTTAATTGATTAAAACATGAGGCTTAATCGATTACACAGTCAAAAATGTGTTGACAGTTGACTCGTGGTTTAATCGATTAAGAAACAGTTATGTAATTGATTACATAATGACAGATGTGTTTTTAAAAAAATCCCATTTGACAAAGAGGGTTATATTTGATAACCTACTCAATTAACCCAAAAACCTTAAACCCCAATTCATGATTTTGCCCAAAATCTTTGTCAAATCGTGTTTTGGATTCACAAGACAACATCTCCTACTCGTTTCTTCATCTTGCACGGTATGTTTGGTTTGGTTTGCATGATTTTTTTCTAGTTCTTTTTTGGATTTATGAAGTGTAGACCGATTGGGATGAAATTTTGTTTTTATTCTTCGCTTTAATGGTTGTTTAGTTTAGGTTTTGATGAATGTATATGATTTAGGGATTATGTTTCATAGGTTTTTTCTTCTGAATTTTAGGTTTTTTTATTATTATTATGTTTGTTTTCGTGATGTTAGAATATTTACAATACAAATAATAAAATTCCACAATAAGTAGGCATCAATGAATTTTTATCATACCTAGTTTCTTCAACGTTTTCTTCAATTCCACGCCCCTAAATTTTGTATTAAAGTTGCTTCCAATGTGACATAGGAAAAATATGTGATAGCCAAATGGAGGCTACCAACTAGCATATTCCTTGACCACCCTTATGATGTTGGGGTGAAGATCGGATATTAGACTAATACTTTGCCTATATGTCACATGAAAATTGCATGTCATACAAAACATACTTATAATGGCTGCACATATACCATTTGAATTCAGTTGTCTATGATTCCGGGAAAGACCTTCGTTCAGGCAGGTGTGATCTTTACTCCATTTACTGACCACCCACGTATTTTCATTCTTCGGCATGATTGCCCCCATATACCAGGGACAACCGTCTTTGTGATTTTGACACTTCATCACAAATCCATGTTCATCGCATTTTGCAACTACGATTGTGTGATGAGCCTTCATACAATGTAACTTCACAGCATATTGCATTTCAGGTTTTGAATGAAACTCCTGATACACATATAATGGATCCGCTAATTACCAACCACCATGCAAGTCATTGTCACCATATAACATGTACATCTCGTCATCAGGGTGCGCCCAATTAATGAAAGAATAATGCTGACTTTCATTCCAAAATAACTCAATCACAGGCCCTACAACTAAATCATTATATTTTTGTCATAAACAATAACAACATAAATATGAAATGTTACATAAAAATTTAAATTTACTAACTGTAACATCCCGGGCGCTGACGAGGGCGGGGAGTGATCGCCGGTGCGAAAGGGCATGGACAAGGAGCGGCTCCTGGCAGGCTTCTAGGGAGGAGGGGTACATGAATGAATCGAATCCACACCCAAAAGAGAGGGATTCCAGAGACTGTGCTGGTATGAGACGATATAGTTGAGAATGGCTTATAAGAATTAATTGGTACTACCTATACTAACAAGATGCATCTACTTTTCGGTAGCCCAGAACAGAAGAACTCCATAGTTAAGCGTGCTTGACTTGGGGCAATTCTGGGATGGGTGACCTCCTGGGAAGTTTTCCCGGGAAGTGTGCGAGTGAGGACAAAGCGCGCTGAAAAGTCTCGTGTTAGTGTGTGGGGACAGTCGTTAATCCTTGCAAGTTGCCGGGCGTTACAAGTGGTATCAGAGCAGGGCCTCTCATCTAGTACGGTGTGGTTCGAGGACGAACCATGCGGAAGCTGGTGGGCATGTAACATCCCGAGCGCTGACGAGGGCGGGGAGTGATCGCCGGTGCAAAGAGGCACGGACAAGGAGCGGCTCCTGACAGGCTTCCAGCGGGGGGTTACATGCATGAATGAATCGAATCGACACCCGAAAGAGAGGGATTCCAAAGGCTGTGCAGGTATAAGGCTGCACAGTTTGGGATAGCTTATAAGAATTAATTGGTACTACCTATACTAACAAGATGCATCTTCTTTTCGGTAGCCCGGAACGGAAGAACTCCACAGTTAAGCGTGCTTGACTTGGAGCAATTCTGGGATGGGTGACCTCCTGGGAAGTTTTCCCGGGAAGTGTGCGAGTGAGGAAAAGGCACACTGAAAAGTCTCGTGTTAGTATGTGGGGATAGTCGTTGATTCTTGAAGCGGCCGGGCGTTACAAGATGTGTAACATCCCGAGCGCTGACGAGGGCGGGGAGTGATCGCCGGTGCGAAAGGGCATGGACAAGGAGCGGCTCCTGGCAGGCTTCTAGGGACGGGGGTACATGAATGAATCGAATCCACACCCGAAAGAGAGGGATTCCAGAGACTGTGCTGGTATGGGACGGTATAGTTGGGAATGACTTATAAGAATTAATTGGTACTACCTATACTAACAAGATGCATCTACTTTTCGGTAGCCCAGAACAGAAGAACTCCATAGTTAAGCGTGCTTGACTTGGGGCAATTCTGGGATGGGTGACCTCCTGGGAAGTTTTCCCGGGAAGTGTGCGAGTGAGGACAAAGCACGCTGAAAAGTCTCGTGTTAGTGTGTGGGGACAGTCGTTAATCCTTGCAAGTTGCCGGGCGTTATACTAACTTACCACTGCTAACGGGGTCAACATGAAGTGGTGGCATAGCCGGGAAACTCAAGTTTACTGAGTTCGTGTCAGCGTCAAAATCACCCTCCACATCAGTATCTGAGGTATCACCTAGTGGAA